GCACATTTAGCTACATCTACTAGCACATTTAGCTACATCTACTAGCATATTTAGCTACATCTACTAGCATATTTAGCTACATCTACTAGCACATTTAGCTACATCTACTAGCATATTTAGCTACTTCGTTGACTCTGTTCTTCAGATGGTGAAGCGATGAACAACCTGAAAAGCTCTGATGTGTATCAGTGTCTCCACAATAATAAGGTCGATAGAGTTTTGTTAAAAGAGGTAGGACACAAACTTATTGACTTTAAATAAGACCCAGAGCCAGACAAAACCCTAAAGTCCTAAATATCTGATCTTGGGTTAATTACAGAGAAAATCATAAAACTGAAGATGAACAAATATAAAGCTGTGACCTCCATACACCTGAAATCATCTCTGATGTTCTCGTCACTGTTTTCAATCCTTCTGAGGATCCGGCGTCTCTTCTCCGGTGGTTTATTGTCGTCCAGACACAAAGTAGGATGCAGGTTTTCCTCCTTCAGCCATTTGTCAACAAAGTGAAATGAGCTCACATGCAAAGTTTTGGGTGGTCTCTTCAAGTTCACATTGTTCTGACACGTTCTTCTTAATTCCTCATCTGCAGGTAGGAGATGAAACTAAACCTTCCTTAGTCTAAACGAGAACAAGACTGAAGTTATGATGTTTGGATCAAGTTGTGTCCCTCTCCCAGCGTAGATCTTGGCTCACTGTCATTTTATCTCAGGGACTGTGTCACCAATCTGGGGGTGAAGTTTGAGTCTGATCTTAAATTTGAAAAACAGATCAGCAATGTTGTTCAGAAAGTTTTTATCAACTTTGCCAAATAGCAAAAGTGAAACCAATCCTAGCAAGACCTGACTTGGAGAAATTAATCCACACTTTTATCACAGCTCGTCTTGATACTGTAATGCACTGTATGCAGGCATTAGACCTCTCCTGCCCGTCTGCAGCTTGGGCAGAACTCTGCTGCTCACCTGTTGAAAATTCTAGAATTGTGCCGCTCCAGGTGGCTGCATGTTGGAGCAGCTCTGTTGCTTTCATTCTGAGATTTTGCTTTTTGAAACTTTAATTCCTCTTTTTCTGGACGCAAATCACATTTCCTGGATGATTGTTTCCTCTGGTATCGGATGCTGTGCAGCTGGAAGGATTTTTACTGAGACTTTTTTGGCTTTGGGCATTTGTTATGATGCGTAACCATGGCAACAAGGCAGTTTTCTACAACAACAGCAGCTGATTAACATCTCAAAAGCTCAAATAATATCTCAACTATGGTCCCAACTCCCAAATGAGTTGAAAAGGATGTTATGTGGACGCATTCTCATCTACCTGCCAACTGTGCTCGAGTGCCTGACCACTGACATCCTGGAACTAGCAGGAAACACGACTCATGACAGCAGAAGGACAGGATCGTCCCTCTGCACCTACAGCCGGCTGTCTGCAGCGACGAGGAGCTCTGCAGACTGCTGGGAGGAGTGGCCATCACTCTGGGAGGAGTTCTGCCCAGCATTCAGGTGGTCCTACAGTCCAGGGGAACCGAGAGGCCAGCCGAGTCTGGGTGGACGGATCGGACAGCATCTGCAGCCAGTTTCTTAGGATCCACTGAGGGATGGACCTTTACAAGAGCCATCAGCATCTATAACATCTCTTAATGAAATGAGGATAACGAGTTACAACAACAAAATAATTTCCCTCTGGGATTAATAAAGTATTATTGAATTGAATTGAATTGAATTAACTCAGGCCCGTAGGTGCGAGCACATCACTCCCATCCTGGCGTCCCTTCATTGGCTCCCTGAGAACTACAGAATTAATTTTAAACTTTTGCTGTTTGTTTTTAAATGCTTGAACAACCTTGTCCCATCTGTCTGAGCTGCTTCAGCCTTACTGTCCACCCCGATCCCTACGATCAGCTGATCAGCTGCTGCTGACAGTCCCTAAAGGCTGAAGCTCAGAGGTGACGGAGCGTTTGCTGTTGTTGCTCCCAGGTTGTGGAACCACTTACCCTTGAGTGTCAGACAGGCCTCCTCTCTTCTTGTTTTTAAATCTCTTTTAAAGACACACTTTTATTCTTTGTCTTTTAACACGTGATCTTATCTTTTATGGCATCTTAACACACCTGCCATGAAACTGGTACGTGCATGTTTTTATGTTTCTTTGTGTATGCTTTGTATGTTTTTATTTTCTTAATTAATTTGTCTTTGTCTTGTACAGCACTTTGGCTACCCTTGCGGGTTTTAAAATGTGCTATAGAAATAAAGTTGATTGATTGAAATAATTCTTTTCACAGGAACTCTTTTTGTTTTGGTCTGTGTTCCAAACTCTGTTGTTGTAGCCACTGATTTAGTTTGGTCTGGTTGTTCTGCAGCCCTGAACACAACAGGTACCTGAACGCAGCAACGGCTATTTTAGTCAACTTTATGGTTGTTAAATAAATGTCAACAAAACAAAACAGAGTTTTATGTGCTTAACTGAATGCAAATTACTTTCAAGTAAACTGCGGTCTGTGCTCCACTACCAAAGCTAACCAATGCTTGCACTACTTCCTGTGTGACAGGAAGTTGCACCCATAACCATTTATACAGTAGAGTCCCCAGGAATAAGGTGGACATCAGGGATCAGTGCAATCTAAGTTTATAATGTTATTAACAGGTCACAACTTAAAAGTGCAATAGAGACATAAAAATAAAAGCTTATATTACACCTTTGTTTTGTTTACATCAGTCACATGGTCTAATGTGGCCCAGGCCCCTTGCAAAAGAGATCCATGATCTCAATGGGATCTGCCTGGTTAAATAAAGGTTAATATATGGTCAGTTTAGTCCAAATATTTCTTTAAAGTATTCCCCAGATGAGCAGCTTCAAACATGAAATCCTGTCACGCTTCCATTCTGGGTACAATAAAAACCACACCACTTGCAGCATCTTGTTTAGCTTTTCACCAAAGCTTTAGTGTTTTTACCTTTAGGTGCCTAAAGTGGTGAGTTTAAATTTTATTTCATGCAAAAGTACAAACAAAATCAGTGTTTCAACAGCAAACACATCTGTCACCCACTTTCAGAATATTAACTCTGTTCATAACTGAAATGAAAATGTAAATTTGATTTCAGTTAAAGTATTTTTATTACTACAATGATCACATATAGAATTCAGTTTTGTATCATTTCTCTAACTCAGGGATCTTCAACTAAACTGCTCAGGGGGCCACGGTTACTGAAAACCAGCAGCTCAGGGGCCGGACATCCAGCAATGAAAGTCATTCTGTAAATAAACCAAGTACTACAATGATCTGTTACCTTTTAAATGTGTTTATTTTGTTGCATTGAATCATAAATGCAATAAACAGAAGCAACACTCCACCCCATTATGAACTCACTGGTGGGCCGGACTGAAGTCACCCACAGGGACGCCCACTCACACGCACAAACACACTGAGCGTGGGTCCCCTCACAGCCACCCATTGGTGGAAAAGTCCTTTCTCAGCTGCTGAGTCTCTGCCTCTGTGAGTGGCTGAAGAGGTGATCGACAAGCGCCGCCGTGGAAACCAAACCACTCCATTGCACGCTTCAGGGCAGGAACTCCCAACTTCCTGGTCACCTAGCAACACAAGACTCCAATCAACTTATTTACACACCCTGGAAGTAAATAGCATTAGGTTCATTCATGAGCCACTGGCAAACCGTCCTGGCCCAGATTCAGCACATCAGGTCCAAACCATGATGCTACCACCACCATGTTTCACAGATGGGATAATATTCTTATGCAGGAATGTAATTTTCTTTTCTCCAAACAACAATTTTAATTTAAACCAAAAAGGTCTATTTGGTCTCATCCGTCCACAACACATTGTTCCAGCATCCTTCGGGCTTATCCACGTGATATTTATGAAACTGCAGACGAGCAGCCATGTTCTTGTTGGAGAGCAGTGGTTTCTCCTTCAACCCTGCCATGAACCATTGTTCAGAGTTCTCCTGATGGTGGACTCATGAACATCAACATTAGTCAATGTGAGAGAGACCTTCAGCTGCTTAGAAGTTACCCTGGTCCTTTGTGACCTCACCGACTCTTCCACGCCTTGCTCTTGGAGTGGTCTTTGTTGGTCCACCACTCCTGGGGAGGGAACAATGGTCTTGAATGTCCTTCATTTGTTCACATTTTGTCTGAATGTGGATTGGTGGAGTCCAAACGCTTTAGAGATTGTTTCAGTGTTCTAGTCAAGACCACATAACCCAAGACCAAGTTAAGACCAAGACCAGAGTGTACAGAGACCGAGACAAGTCAGAGTCAGAGTCAGAGTCAGAGTTTCTTTATTGTCATTCGCACCTCATGTGGTACATGTGGTGGAGCGAAATTATGTACACAGGGTCCCAGTTACATCCAACAATAAAATGTATAAGAAAAACAGTAATAACATCTAAGATATGAACTAAGAAAAACATCAACTAAATATACACTAAGCACTCATAACATAAAACATTGAACATCAGCACAAACATGAACATGAGTCTGTGAGCAGATGTGCACGCATGAACACATCAACATTGAAACAGATCAGCAGCAACATGAAACAGATCAGCAGCAACATGATATGGTTTTTCACAGTCATTATTCTAGTTAGAGATTCATGAGTCTAACAGCCTCAGGGTAGAAGCTGTTCCTCAGTCTAGTGGTTCTACACTTAATGGTTCTACACTTAAGACAAGACACACAAGACCAAGACTTTTAGGGTCCGAGACCAAGTCGAGACCAAGACCTCAAGTCTTGGAGTTCAATGTTTTCACAGATTATCTGTCTTATACAATACTGTCACAACATAGTGACAGTTTTAACAAATATATAAAAATATATGTCACTTTTTTTTATAATTTTTTAAAAATAAAAGTTACATATTGCAAATTTAAGCTTGCTTTTGAATTAATGTCCCAGCTTTTATAAATTTTCAAAGCTACATAAAGAAATCAGACATTCAGTGGTTTTTCACAATTATTTTCATGTCATGTGACCTACTGACACAAGACTAATGTTAAACTACTAGACCTGAAAAAAGCCCTGGCTGAATGCAGAGGTTCACACCCTGCTGGAAACCAGGGACACTGCCTTCCAGTTCACAGGAGCTGAGGAGGACAAGGTAAAACAAAGCAGCACAGAAGATCCAGGGGCACTTCTCCTCACAACACACACAGAACATGTGGAAGGGCATTAAGAGCATAACAGATTATAAAGGCAGAGGTGCACAATGCCCTAGGGCAGTCCTTCTCAAATAGTGGGGCGCGCCCCCCTGGGAGGGCCTGGGGCAATGCAAGGGGGGGGGTGCGTGTGACCCTAGAAAACATGCTTTTTTACTGCAGGGAGTAGTTGTTTTTCTACAATTCTCATTTTGTCGCGTGTTCCTAATAATAAAGTTATGAACAAATATGGCTGCCTTGTTGTTTTGGGAGCCATGAATGAACCGTGTCTCTCTCCTCTGCTGCTGACACGATGAATAAACTCCGACCATCACCTCCTCCGTCCTCTGCTGCTGTTTTTATGTCCACGCGCTCTGGACGTCCCTCACAGCGCTCATGCAACAAAGAGTAAACTCAAGCAAGAGCGACACCTGCTCCTCTTTCCTCTTTTGCGTTGACAAAATGTTTTAGTTTTATTGATGAGTTTGTCAAAGCACAAGTTATAGAAGTAATGTTTAATAAATGTATAATAAAATAAAGACTATATTCTTTGCTAGCAAAATAAATTCACCTCCTCAATTAAGCTGCTGCATTTTGATGCTCTGGACATTTGTCACCCACAGCAGGTGACAAAGAGTAAACTCAAGCGAGAGGGTTACCTGCATAGATGTCATATACCTGCTCCTCTTTATTCTTTCATGTTGACAATTTTTTTTTGCTTTATCGATGAGTGTGCTCATTGATCCTGACTTCCTCATTTTGATTTTAAAAAAAATCAGCATAAATTGTTTTATTTCATTTTTGTTTTGTAGGTCAAAGTGTTTTATATAACACTTGTGAGTTAAAATGCTGCTGATCAATTTGAATTTATTATTATTTATTGATTGTATTTAATTTTATTTTTCAGTATCGAATGGTCCAAAATGTTTAGTTTAAATAAGGATTGTTTTTGAGGCAAATTGATACACTTTAAGTTGTTTCTGTTACAGAAGAAAAAACAATGTTAATAAAGTTATTCTTTGTTGTAAGTTGATCTATATTCTTTTTTCTTTAATGTTAATAAGGACACAATGTTAGGCAGAGGTGTACTTATAACAGTTTTATAGACACTATTTACAGTCGTGGGGGAGAGTTGGGGGGAGGCAAAATGTTTACTTCTTCCTGGGGGGCATAACAGAAAATAATTGAGAAGCACTGCCCTAGGGATCCATCACTGCCTGATGCTCTCAACAGGTTCTATGCACACTTTGAGGAACTGAACAGACCACCCAGCACCAGACTCACCATATCACCGGAAGAAAAGCTTCTCAGCGTGACCTCAGCAGAAGTAAGGAGGACTTTCAGGATAATTAATCCTCACAGAGCAACTGGCACTGACCACATCCCAGGAAAGGGGCTGAAAGACTGTGCCGATCAGCTCTGCAAGATGCTGGCCAACATCTTTAACTCTTCCTTCACCCTGGCAACAGTTTCCACCTGCCTCAAGACTGCCACCATTATCCCAGTTCCAAGGAGCTCTACAGTGACTGGTCTGAATGACTACTGGCCAGTAGCCCTCACCCTGATAGTCTAAGTCCCTCTCTATGCAACTGGGTCCTAGACTTCTTAACAAACAGACCACAGACTGTGAGGATCCATGACTTCTCCTTCTCGACCATAACCCTCAGCACTGGCTCCCCCCAGGGCTGTGTGTTGAGCCCCATCCTGTTTACCCTGCTAACATATGACTGTGCACCGACCCATTCAGGCTGTCACATTGTAAAGTTTGCAGATGATACAGCGGTGGTGGGATGCATCACAAACAACAGAGTCCAGCTGCAGGCAGGAGGTGGAACACCTGGAAAGCTGGTGCAGGACTAGCAACCTTCACATCAAAATGAAGAAGATGAAGGCGATAGTCGTGGACTTCAGACGGAATAAAGACACCTACCCACCCCCCACCCCTGAACATAAGAGGATCTGCGGTGAAAGTGGTATCCAGCTACAATTACTTGGTTATGCACCTGAACGACATCCTCAGATGGAGCAACAACACCACCAGCCTGATCAAGAAAGATCATCAGAGATTCTTCTTTCTCAGACGACTGAGGCGAGCTGGTCTGGGAAGCTCAGTCCTCACCTCCTTCTACAGGTGTGCAGTGGAGAGCATCCTGTGCTCCAGCATCAATGTGTGGCATGGAGGCTGCACAGCTGCAGAAAGAAAAGCTTTGCAGAGAGTGGTGAAGGCTGCACAGAAGATGTTGGAGTCAGCCTCCCCACCATCACAGACATCTACATCTCCAGATGCAGGAAGAGGGCCACCTGCATCATGAAGGACCACACTCACCCAGCACACACACTTTTTGTCTCGCTCCCCTCAGGAAGGAGGTTGAGGAAAATTAAGTGTAGAACCATTAGACTGAGGAACAGCTTCTACCCTGAGGCTGTTAGACTCATGAATATCTAACCAGGATAATCACTGTGAAAAAAAAAATCACTGTAATGCCACTTGATTGTTGATATATCCTCCCAGGCTCTCATCGAGGTGGCAGCTTCTGTTTTTTCCTCCCCCGTTTTTCCTTCTTCCTGCTCTGCTCTCTGTCTGTCTGAAGCGCCTGGGTCTCATCTCCCAAACATAAATTAAGAAGATTATGGATTTGGTATTGTGGGCGTTCAACTCTATTGATAAGATTTTTTCATCAAAGCAACAAGGTCCTGGAGAACCAGCGTGTCCAGCTGAGACTCACGCTGTGGGGTACGTCATGGATTCGTGGGGAGTGTGGCAGATGCTGTGTCTCTCAGTTCTGTCTCAGGAGGATGTTGAAGACGTTTACATATTTGGACTTATGATAGTAGGGACTCTGCTTTTTGGCATCGGTGGGGCTCTATTTTATCGACTTTTGAAGTAGACAGCGGGAGCAGTTTCGGCCATGGAAAAGCTTCTGAGTCAGTGTGAAGGTCTGGTCCTCGCTGTGGGAACTTTAAATCATCTGGTCTACGAGCTTAACCGTAAGGTGGAGGCGATTGAGAATCGCAGGCCACCTGCAGCTTCTGGGACTCATCAGCGTGGTGGGTTTGACCTTGACCCCTTCATTTTTGACAGACGAGGCACCCTCATTTATTTCTCATTTTAAAACATTTTCAAATTTTACATTATATGTTCAAAAATCTTGGTTTTCACTCAATAACTAACTAGAAAATGCTTTAAAATGAGAAATAAATTAGGGTGTCTTGTGTGTCAGGTCTATTAGAGGAGTTTAATATTAGTTTTGTGTCAGTGGGTCAAATGATATAAAATATATTAATTTTTGTTTCAGAAGAGTGTTTGGTTCAGTAATTTGTTGACAGTCCCTAAGCAAACCATTACGTGTCAGAGGGGCAACTGAGTGCAGCTGACTGAAATCAGACTTCCTGCTTCAGATCGAATGAGAGGAACACACCGCTGAAGCCACG